ACTGAAGTTACACAACAGTGTTGTTGATACGGAGTTGGAGTTTATTCACACGTCACACTAGTAGTAGTATTCGTTTATTAGTCCCCAAGGGGAAAATGGGTTGCAGCACATCACAGAGGCATTTAAAAAAGTTAAGACAATACATCACTGACAACAACATAGACACAGTTAAAAACAAACAGACATAAGAAAACCAGATATCGGCAGACATGACAAGGGGCCTATAGGCCCTCATTTGCGAAATAGGGGGGACAGGGATACCAGGGATTACCAGCTGGATAAACAGTGCATCCTAGCCATAATTTGTTCAGGAGTTTGATGGCTTGTGGGACGAAAGACAGCCTAGATCTGTTCTTTTTTTAAATAAGGGGCACGATATCTCCGCCCGGATGGCAACAATTCAAAGTAAGAGGCAAGAGGGTGCCTCAGGTCACTCACAATATTGTGTGCCAGTTTTAAAACTCTGTCCTTATATAAGCATTCTATATTAGCAAATGAGATTCCTGTCAATTTACTGGACACTGTTACGGCCCTCCTGACTGACTTTTTCTGTGCCTCAGTTGCGTGTGTACTACATTGGTCATATTTTCAAGAAACATTGAACAGTGCTGCCACATATGACACAGTACAAAAGAAAATACTCTGAACCCTTTCTTTGCCATTATATCAAAATAGTGTTGCTACAAAAGTATAAATTAGGCTTACTAATAAGACAACTCAGATCTGAAGCTACACAGGAATCTGCTGCCAAAGTGCAATAAAAAAGACAACATTAATAGAATCAAACCCTTTTTTGTTGCATTTTAGTAGAGTATAAAAATAAATGCCTTTAAATTAGGATGCAAGCAACACTGGGTCTGGCACCCCTGCAGTAGAACATTCCACTGTAGCGCCCCTGGTGCTCACGCTTTTGTGCGTGCTCTATAGTGCCCGTAATAGTGTTCACTGGAGTCCAGCACCTCAGCACCCCCACACAAAATACCTTCCCACGCCTCTGACTTTGGGGTTAATAATGTGGCCTTTTTGACAGTTTAACTAAAGGTGTGCGGCTGCTGCCGTGAGGAAATATCAGCCTGAAATTACAATGGGCTTTAATGGAGGCATGTTGAAAGTTGTTGTCACTTCATGCCCTCAAGAGGCATTTTGTTTAATTATTATTGCTTCATTATTTGTCTTTTTTCAAGCTACGAGATGTTTTCCTACGTTTGTCATGAAAAGTTATGTCTCAGGAATGTAGGGTTTGGGAATTATGGCAGTTTAAAAAAAAATATGAAGGCTAATTTCAAGATTTCTTACCCTCTAGCTGTGACATCACGCACTCTAGTTCATGTTAACATCTGAAGAAAACCTCTTTAACAAGGTCTGAGCAATGTTTAATATCTCTAAATGTAAGAATCAGATATAACACGAATAATATCAGAAAGATGTGTAACATTTTAAAGGGGGTCAGAGCTACCAGGAAGGGAGTGGAGCCTGATGGAGACACTGGGAACAGAAGGTGAGGCGGTAAGAGCTACCAGGAAGGCCATTCTTAAGTATTTGAGTGGAACAGGATTGATTGGAAGAATTTAAAACAACGTAAACAACACAATGGTATAATTCCACAAGTGGTGATAGGATGATATGGTGATACACTCTCTTGTACAGTAGGTGGCGGTATGCACCTTAAAGCTGTTTGCAATCCGCCAAACACCGAGAGAAGAAGAAGAAGAAGACGAAGAAGAAGAAGAAGAAGAAGACGAAGAAGAACCTGGATCCACGTGGCGTCTCGTCGCTACGGTTCTCTCTCTGTGTGTTCCTGAGAAAGTGTGTGTGAGCTCCAGCTCTACTGATCCATCATCTGTGTGTCTGGATAAACCTCCGAATGGACTGTGTGCTCTTTTTTCTGGAGCGTTTACCTCGGACTATAGGAGCTAGCTTAGCATGCTAGCTGGAAACACGTTAGCAACACTAGTCAGATTGAGAGTTTGATGCAGAGAGAAACGGTGTGTTTAACGGAGTCTGCAGGGAAAGGTGATCTAGGAAACATGAGTAAAGTCCAAATGCTGCTGTCGTTGAAGAAGCAGCGACTCACTGCTGCTAATGAAGAGATATTTGCTCTGTTTGAACAAACAATAGCAGAGCTCGAGGAGGAGCTGTTTCTTTCCAAAGAGGAGAACAAGAGACTCCAGAAGCTACTGGACGCTGTTTCACAGCCTCAGCTTCGGATACACAGAGCAGGTCTGTTCCCTTTACCCTTCATTAACACTTTACACTCTTCAGTAGCACTTTATTATCACATTAATAACACTTTAGACCCTTTATCAGCACTTGCTGCAGGTAGTAGATCCTGAAGTAAAAGTACAAACACCACACTGTGAAAATACTCCATTACAAGTTAAAGTACTGCATTCATATGTTATTTAAGTAAAAGTATGTAAGTATTATTAGACACATGTACTTTATTATAATAATTAAAATGTATTACGGAAGAGCAAACCTACCAAAATAAATATATTTATAAAAATACATACATTGAATAATATCCCAGATAACAAAGAGACACTGGGCCGGATCTGGGCCGCACCTAGCAGACGATCTGGCCCGGATCCGCCAAACGGACTCGGTCCGTTGTCCAAACGCACATCGGCCCGAAACTGGATCGGATCCGCAAAACGGATCTGCGGAAGATATGGGCCTGCACTGGTCCAGCTCCGTTTCAAAATGGTACTCCGCGTTCCAGATCCGGTACGGACCCGCGTTCCAGATGCGATACGGATCCGCTTACCAGACTACTGCCAACTTCCATTGTTGCCTTATCTTCGGCATTTAAACACATTAAACCTTGCTAATATTGGCTATATTTAAGTCTTCATGGAAGTGTCGCCATTTCACTTTTCATCTAAAGTTATTGGACCAGTCAAATGAAGGAGGTACATTCATAAACGTTAAGTACTTTTCAATAGCTTAGAGCTAGGCAAGCGAAATTAAGGAGGAACTGTGTAAATGATGAATAACATGTGATGGTGTTTAACACTCTGCAGTTTACCAAGTAAATCCTCAGATTGTGTTTGGCATTAGGTAATGTGCTGTGACCATAGCAAACAAACTAACTATCATGGTGGTGGTATTTACTTCAGACACTGTTACTTCACTCAAGGTATCAGAAACATAAAATAACAATATACACGTCGAGATGTTTGCTGTATACGTGAACATGAAACTTTATTAAAACATGAACCGTAAACTTAAAAACAAAACGAAACAAAAACGATAAAATAATTAATATTGTCGATCGGGGACGGGCAGTGTATCCTGGCTTTGACGTCTCCTCTCCTGTCTCTCCTGGCGGCCCCCTTCCCTGTCGCTTGCCAGGTTAAACCAGCGAATGGTATGCTGGGATATGTCTGCATCCATCGCTGCACTCGTTATAGCGCATTTGCGCACTGCACCTATTGTGTGATTTAGCAATGGCCAACAGAGACCAGTGACAGCCAGTGGGTGAATGTAACGTTAAGACATGCTGCACATGCAATGGGGACATAGAGGTGACATTCAGAGTAGGCGTCAGTGGCGGACAGTCAGGGGCCTGCTAAGCCAAAATTAAGACGAATATTGCATTCATACATAATATGTTAGTTTACTGTAAATGTCTGTTTTCCTTCTCATTATCCTTCCTTCCTCGTTTTCCTTCTCGCTTTGTTTGTTAAAAAATAAACACTTTCCATCAGTGTTTTAAAAATAAATACAAATGTATGAATAGTTTTAAAATAAACAAATATTTATTGAAAGAAATTATCTTCCTGTTCATCCCGTTTCTTCTGGGGCGATAGAACATTTCCCAGTCAGTGCAGTAGAGCAGACAATTGCTGACCGTTGCAACACATGACACGCACAAATTAATGAATCATCTAATGTGATGCCAAAAAGGCACGAGCAGTTAATCAGTCAATCACAAGCAACCGCGAATTGTACAACAGCAAGGCTTGGCTACCTTGATACTGTCACGCACACATGGAGAATACGGCCAGGGCCTGCAAGGCAGAGTTAGCATCGAAGCGTAACTGGAGGAAGGCTACAGGATGGGTAAAGGATATGTCTTACAAAATAACTTACGACACGAACATTCAACATTATTATTCATATTAGCACCTGCCAATCATTTGAGCAACACCCGATGGCGAAATTAAACAAGAATACATGCAGCATTCTGTCGAGCAGCGCATTTGTACTAAAGCTTATTGCTGCCATGCCAGGGAAAAAAAAGATCAGCATCACGTTATAACATACAAAGTGATGTTTTTCACGGTTTAACATTTTAACTTTATAATGTGAAACATATATTGTTATCACATGATAAACATCTTGTTCTAACAATATACTTTTCATGTAATATTGTGATCCTTATCAGGGTTTATTTCTGGCTAGGCAGCAACAGGCTGTACATTTGTATGTGCAAAATGTAAAACTTGGTTTGTGTTTGATTAAACTTGGTAGGGCTACCGAGTTTTAAATGTTGTGTCAAAATGCTTGAAAAGTGTGCGTTTAAATGCTAAAACGATACAATTGTTTTTTAGTCCTACAAAACATAAATCGTCATTGAAGGCCTAACCATAAAACCCCTGGCCCGCCAATGATGGGCATAGTGTAAAAACAAATAGAAACACTTTGCAGCACATGCAAACACATGGATGGAAAGTGAAAGACTTGCAAGGTAGTGATTGACAGGCTAAGGGAGTGTTGTGAAACAAAGTGCTTACAAGATTAAGGTAATAGATTCAGTTCCAAGAGAACAAACTGTTGCTTAAACTTTACCTGTAGGATAGAAGTGTCTGTTAAATGAGAAGATGGAAATTGAGTGAATGCAATCTAATTCAACTAGGCCAATCTAATTCTTTTTACACCATTATGATGAAATAAACATTTGGAAAGACAGATTTTCATGGCCATTTTATTGAAGGCCCTTTTGCCGTTTACTCCCTTCCAATTGATCCTGCATGCCACGATGCAGGTAATCATTCTTGCCAGAATATTCCACACAACCCTCTTAGTGTCCACCCCTCCAACAGAGGAGAGCGAAGTCGCCTAGGTGGAGAATGGAAACTGAACTGAATATACATGTCAACATTACTGCAACAAACTCAAAGACAAACAAGGCTAACATTTTGTATTGAGCATATGAAAACATGTCCCATAAAAATACTTACAAGATTTGTCTTCATTCTTTCGTTTAGAGGGTTGCGGGGCCACTCTTCGAAACGCTCCAATTCCCCATCGCTGTCGAGGGGGAATTGGAACTCTTCGGGCATCTCGTAGGTTGGGGCATGCAGGCCTGATCCTACTTTCGCCATCAAAATGTCTAAAGCTCCTGCTAACTGGTTGACCTGCTGCTTAATATTTTCTAGCAGCAACAGGCCATGCAGCTCTGCAGCTGAAATAATGTGGACAAATAAAGATATTGGATAGGGCAAGACCATATAATGCTTAGTCAGTTAATAGAATTTTGATATCACTCCTAAATTAAAAACTTAGCCTAACCATTCAAAATATACTAGTATAGGGGAAATGTGTGTGGGTTGGATTCGCAGAGTAACTCAAGATACAATACTATCACGATTTGTCTTACCTGTGCAGGGAATCGGGGCACTATCACCCCCAACCCTAAATGTGGGCCTGAAGACATGCTCATTTCTGGGTGTTGTGGGCCCCATTCATTGTTTGAAATGACCCCTGCCTCCTTGGTCCCGACCGTCGCTGGCTATTTGGCAAAAGGCAAATCAATAGTGATTAGCAGATTATACATAAATAAGAAAATAAATTGGCAACACAAACATATAAACTAAAAGACTGTAATACTTATAAGACTGGTTTAATAAATATACAGTATTTATATGTTTTTGTATTCGACATCATTTGTCTAGCATTGAATTAAAGGATTTATAGGTTCAACAAAAAAAATATTCTTACAGTATAGCTTTGCATATGCACATACAGTGGGGAAAATACGTATTCAACGCATCAACATTTTTGTCAGTAAACGTATTTCCAATATGGCTATTCACAGAAAATGTTGACCAGACTTTGGTATTAACTCAAGAAATCCTGAGTAAATACCAATGTCTTGTCAAAATGTCCTATGAATAACCGCATTGGATCTATGTTTACTGAATCAAAATTATGCATTAAATACTTTTTTTCCCTACTGTATACTGGTCGACATACTTCATGATGCCATTGATTTTGGTAGTGTGTGGGCCTAAAATTGAGAATTATGTATTAGAATAGTTCCATGTACACTTCAGGATATGTATTTACACTAAAAACTCACCATTTAATGTGGACAATTCAGGGTAACTGAAATCTGGACTCATAAATGGTGGATGTCTTTCAGGTGGAGTAACTGTGAAAATGCCATTGCCTAATAGATGGTGGACAGCAACGGAAAGCGAGAAAATGAGAGGCAGTGTTGGCAATAGGCAGGAACAGGACTTGCAGTGGCACAGCACAAAGTAATCAACACATATAAGTGTATAAGATAAATACATCAACAGCAATAACATACAGTTGAATCGCCATCTCTCTTAAACTCTTTCAACAAAAATTAGGAAGGGGTATTTATTGCAGGACTGTTGTAATAGACTGCATTAGCTTAGATGTACCTAATAAACTGGCATATAAGTGTGTGTGTGTGGGTGCATACACACACACACATCTTTATATATATTTTATACATACATTTATGAACCTGTTACATTAGCAGGGTGTCCGCGGGGTCTTAAAAAGTGTTAAAAGTTGATAAATCAATTTAGCGAAAATTAAGGCTATTCAAAAGTATTAAACGGCATTTTCCAAGGTATTAAGAAGGTCCACAGCAACGACAACATGAAACACCCTTTAATTTACTGAAACAACATGTCGGGAAACCCCCTCAAGGTGGCCCCATGCAACCCATGCTCCGCTCTGTGGTGGTTATCTGCTGGTGGACTACCTGAGAGATATACAGCAGGAGAACACGCCGTCCACCGCGGAGAATAAACAGAAGGGCAACCATAACAACCATGCTCCGGGGTCTTCTTCGCTGCTTTTGGTGTATTTTGTGGCGGCAGCAGCGCTACTTACAGGCCTGGCATATGTACTACAGCGTTTCCAGCGGTCTAGTGTGAACGGACACGTTAATGAATCGAATGCGTGTGAACGGAAGACTTTTTTGCGTATGCGTTTTACTGTATGCGTTCTCGTGGGGCCGGGGTCTAAGCCAAACTATATCCGGTCACAGAGATCTGCTATTTTAAAGTAAGGTCAACACATATCGACCCTAAATATAGTCTATATTAAGAACGAGAAAAGTCTTAACATATATATCGTTTTTTGTAAACATAACAAATGTGTGAGGGTGATGACGTCAGAGCATCGTCCTATGTGCCGGGCTTAGCCCCGGACAGCCCCAGCCCAATTTAACCCCTGGGTATTTGTGAGGGAGCTCCTATATGGCATTACCCCGCTGAAGCTCACCAAAGTTTAATATATTTCATAGTTCAAAGTTTTGTCAATTGTTTTGTTTATTGGTCAAATACTGGTTTCTAATGGTTTCTGAGGAGTTTTACTGGAATGAAAGAGCACAGAGTACAGAAGCAACAGAGCAGCATACTGCATTAAACCTGACCTTCACAGAGAGGTTGAAGTTCATGTGGAGAGGAGGATTCAGTAGTCTGTCTGCACTCTGTTTAGTTGTGCTATCTTACAATCAATATAGTAAATGTGAGGTAAAGTGTGTCACCAATGTAACCGGTTAGAACTCGAAGTTGCGATGAGGTCTTAAAATGTATGGAAAGGGTCTTAAAAAAGGTCTTAAAAGGTATTAAATTTGGCTTCAGGATTCCTGCATATACCCTGATTAGGCTAAAACTTCTTAACAGTTAATGTCTCACCCACAGACCCCAGACGCCTTGTGTTCCAGCTGATGTCGTTTAGGTGGTGTTGGTCCTGAGAATTGGCAGCTAATGGAACATATAGAAACATATCAACATATAGAAACGAAACGTGAGTGTGTGTGGAGCCATGAACGGCCACCATTAAAGGAGCCATGAAAGGTAAACTTACAGATGCAGGGTTGTGGTCGTTGGTGGTCCTGAGAATTGGCAGCTAATGGAACATATAGAAACATATCAACATATAGAAACGAAACGTGAGTGTGTGTGCAATAAAAACTAATTAAAAAAAAAACACTGGAGTGCCACCAATAGTGGACTCATCATAGTTAGACTTACTGAAGCACGGTGGTGGGATGAAGGGTAACGTCACCGCATTTTGCGGAATAACACCCCTCGTTTTTTGGGCCACCGGCTCAGAGTCAGTGTCTGATTCGTAGGTTGGGTATCTAGTCAAAACACATGTAATATTTGAGTGACAAGAAACAATAATTCTATTATAACCAGTGTTGTGCTAGTTACTGAAAACCAGTAACTAGTTACCATTACTAGTTACTTCATGTCAAAAGTAACTCCGTTACTTTACTAGTTACTTACACCCAAAAGTAATGCGTTACTGTGAAAAGTAACGTCTTAGTTACTTATGGAAAGGGCTCCCATTAATGCCCTTATAGCCTTCATTTCAGTACTGTTATTGCATTGGAGAATAATACAATCTGTTGATCAACTTGACATGCATTATATGCAATCTGGATTGCATCGATATTAGCTGGCTTTCCATTTTTGTATATTCTTTCTCCAGGTAGTTGGAAAAAGTTTTCCGTCCCATATGCCGTGTGCCGCCCTGACATGGCATCATGCTAACTAGCTCCCTGAAAGCGGGTGACTCCACTGTAGCAATAGCCTGCATGTGTTCTACAACATACCGTGCAATGGCTTTATCGACGTTTCCCTGGCTAGCAGTCCCTCGGTTAAAATCCAGCCGCTGTTGCTTAGGTGGAGGTGGAGTGGCGTCGGCTGAGTCTCTGTGGTCTTAGCTACTAGCTTCGTCCCAGCATGTTGTTTCTGCAGATGTTTTAAGAGATTTTAATGACTGGTTTGGGCAGTAGATAGGATCTTTGTCTCGCCAAGACACAACTTACATTTAACTAAAACGTTCTTTTCTTTGTGCTCGAAAAAAGTGAAATAGTGAGAATATCTCCAGGTGGAGAAACTAGACTTGAGCTCCGCCGCCGCCATGATAGTCTTGTTAGTAAACAACACAAACACGCCCACAGCGCGTCTCCGCATGTGACACAGGAAGTATCTAAGTACATTTACTCAAGTACTGTACTTAAGTACAGTTCTCATCTCTGTTCGCCTGGCTGTTGACTATATAAAAAAACTAACGCAGTAACGGAGTAACGCACCATGTAGTAACGGTAACTGAGTTACTGAATTTAAAAAGTAATGCGTTAGAGCAGCGGTTCTCAAACCTTTTTCAATAATGTACCCCCTTTGAAAAAAAAATTCAGCCAAGTACCCCCTGATCAGCGCAAAAACATTTTGTTAAGGAAAAAATGCCTATTTAAAGAGGTACAGCACAGCGCTGCACCTTCAGTGTCTGATTTATTAAAACAACAACCTTGTAACTGAGAAACACTTAAATGCTACATTTCAAATGTTTACAATCCATCACTAAATTCATGGCAAACCAATTTTAACATCATGCAATAACACTGAGACGACATTAGTTACATTGAACTGATCTTTTTAATAAGTTGTACAATGTAGTGAAACATGGGCTTGAGCTTCACTGAGGATCTTTGTCATTCTGACAGGGAGGCAAACTGCAGTTATTACACTTCGCGTTTTGAAATATGTGTAGGCTAACTCTGTTCATATAAAACCCACACTGCTCAAACTTCGTTACTTTTCCTAAAATTGGAATATTTATTTATTTGTGGGCGTGGGGAATGAAGAGAAAAAAAAATATGAGCATTTTATGAGCATGGGATTTTGACCCCTCATATAAACATATGCATAATGCTGCGCTATACTTTGCGGCCACACGCCGTTGCCAAGCAATGCTTTATTGTTAAGGTGTCCTTTGATAAGCAGGCAGTCATATAATTAGCTAGAACTAGCTAGATCTGGACATAAACGCGAGTAAAGTCTAACCGGACGCGAGAGAGATCAGATCAGCTGCTGCTGACGGAGAACACGCAGCTCTGCATTATCACAGCTCCGCCGCGGACCGTTGAGTGGAGCAAAATTAAATACACTAAGAGTTAGACCTAACATACTTACTCTGGAACTAGCTATACTAGTTATAAATATGTGTATTCTTTACTGTCGGGTCACGTATTACAGGTTCAGCGAGCTGCACGAGACTGAAGGGCTGTCAGGAGAGGGAGAGGAAAAGAGAGCACACTGTTTATTTTTCCCATTTTATTATCCAGAGTTTCTGTAAACCTTTGAAGAAAGTATTTCATCTACTATTAGTAGTTTGTTAAAATGCATTACTTATGTTGTTTTTTTTCATTAACATAAAATAAATCTCACGTACCCCCTGCAGTACTCCAACGTACCCCTAGGGGTCCGCGTACCCCCATTTGAGAACCACTGCGTTAGAGTACTAGCTACTGCCAAAAATAACGGCGTTACTTGTAACGCGTTACAGTAACGCGTTACAGTAACGCGTTACAGTAACGCGTTAGTCCCAACACTGATTATAACT